TTTTTTGTCACAGCGTCACGCGCCGAAAAACGCTTCTAAAAGTTTGAGTCCTTAACCACATACCTTCATTTTTATACCAAAAGTAGAGTATGGCGAGCTGCGTCGAACGGCGCAAGAACGACGGTTCCAGCTTATACACTTTTTGAGGAAAGCTCAAATTACTTTGTCAAAAATGTCACAGCGTCACGCTTGGACAAGCCGTGCAGTTCTCCAATGCCATCACTACGGTACATCTATTTCGGAGAATCAAGTGCAAACCTACAATATCAGACTATCCTATGTTACTAACAAAAAAATCGAAAAATGAGTGGACTCCTATCATGCCTTATATATTTAAAAACTACACAGCAGTAACTATGACGAGTAGTAAGAAAATCTCCACACAAAAAATTTTTTAATGGCATTGGTGTGGCACCTATGCTCACCGATGCACAAATTAGAAACAGTTTCGCTTCGATGTGCATCTATATAGTTTTTCTCGCATTGATTTGGTATCGATGTACATCAATATGTCTGATGGTAGGTGAGCGCATCGTAACTTGGACACTGATGCGCAGAGATGCTGAAATAATAAATTTTCCTGGCGTCTGAGAACACATCTGTAAGTTTATAATTGCCAGATGGTGTGATGGAAGCCGCCTGTCGCCGAGTGCCATAGGCATCGGCCGCTCTCTAGAGACCATATAACTGTTCCGTAACCGATTCAGAAACGATCCAAACCACCTTTTTCCTTCATGAGGATATTTAAAGACGTCCATGATGATAACATATGCTGTATGATACCGTCCTTGTGCATCGTTTCAACCTTTTCTTCCACTATCGCATTTAAACTCTCGGGAATTCTACAGAGTCCATCGGAGTATTTCCTTGAATAGCACTTTTATGTTGCATTAGTTAATCCTTCAAATATGACTTATTCTTTGAGACTATGTTACTATGTGGTGTCGCAGTTCGCCAATTCAACTTTCGCCAATGTTCGCCAGTAGACATTCGCCAATAGGCGAATGTCCAAAAAAGTTGGCGAATGTCAATGAGACATTCGCCAATCGACCAATTGGCGAATGTCAAGGGGACATTCACCATAATTGGCGAATGTCGAGGGGACATTCACCATAATTGGCGAATGTCGAGGGGACATTCACCATAACTGGCGAATGTCGTGCGGACACTCTCACTCACACTCTCACACACACATATACTGAGGACAGGTACTGGCGACTGTCGCCGAGACATTCGCCATAATTGGCGAATGTCGTGTGAACAATGGCGAATGTCGTGTGGACATTCACCATAATTGGCGAATGTCGTGTGAACAATGGCGAATGTCGTGTGGACATTCACCATAATTGGCGAATGTCGTGTGAACAATGGCGAATGTCGTGTGGACATTCACCATAATTGGCGAATGTCGTAGGGGTACTGGCGAATGTCAATCTGGCGAACGTCTTGTGGACATTCGCCAGTCGCCAGTATGGCGAATGTCTATTGGCGAAAGTTGAATTGGCGAAACGCGACTTTACCGAATTTCTTTCTTCATTCGAAACAACCACAACTATTCTATCAGCATCTAAATCTTATCCAACAATGAGTTTATGTTTATTATTACGTTTAGTAAGTATCAAGTGCTGAGCTTTGAATTGTTCTGAATGAAAATTAACTAAAAATGTTTGAGTAGATAGTATTAATAGATATCGTGCTGTTCTGTAAGTCAGCTGGCACTATGCCAGGTTCGAGAGACGTTTCTCCTAAAGGAGATGTCAAACAGAGATAACTGCAGCTGCCTCGCTAGCTACGGTAGTTATCACAAAGCTATTTCATCTTGTTTGAAGTGCCTGAAAGTCGGGAGCTTTGCCAGATTCCTGTCAGTACTACCCAGAAACCTGCTCACTAGTCTTTACCATTTGGAATATCGACTGCAATTGGATGATAATGTATATCTGGATGAAAAGCGATGAGTAAGTAATGGAGTGCCACTGACGTGTAATGACAGGTAAGTGCTTGTTGTGCATTATTGACACTTGACAGATATTTTAATATTTGTGTTAGATAGAGATTGATGTTAACGACAAGTTGGTTGGAAACTGTTTAGAGCTCAGGGAAAGAGTACCGATTTGAGATAGATTGGACAGGGTTTGAGGTAGAGAGTTCAAGCAGAGTAATAAACAAATACGTAAACACCATAAGACGCATAGTTTTTATTACTTGGAGACAAAGAATAATTTTAACAAAACTAAAGTTAGAAAAACAAAACTAAAAATGTCGCTAGAAAGTGCCTGACAGAGAGTGCGTTTCGTTTTTGTTTTTCCTTAGATATGTCAAAGATGAAAGCAGTAGGCAGCTTTCTCAAATCTCTTTTCTCTCTAGCCTCTTCTTTGAGTTCTAACAATTTCATACAATACGATTCTTATCAGCACGAGTTGGAGCTTTTCTTGTAGTTTATTGCGTTCTCAGAATAGATTTATTTATTTTGCTAGAAAATTTCCAATGTTTTGATATGGTTATACAAAAGTAGAAGACGATCTTGTAACATAACCATTGAATGTCGTGTTTGATTTAGCTCCTCAGCTATAGCTGTTAGAGACATGATATTAGCTACTGTTCGCTGTAAAATTTTATCATTGACTTGAATGTGTTCAACTAGTTGTCGCTCTGTTTCTCTAATACCAGCTACTTGTAATATATTGTATGCTGATGTATCTAATACAAGTGTACTTGCTACGACTGTATAACCTTCTATTAACTGACCTGAGTATTTCTTGACCTGATCTGATCAATTCTATCCATAAAAACCATTCACTGAAATGTTTCTGTGATGAATTAGTACTAGAATGTAATATTTCATGTGAATCAGTAAGATTTTATTGTACAAGACCATTGTTGGTTGAATTCTTAGAGCCAACGAATGAATTAAAAAATTTCGACGGAAGTAAAATAACATCAACCTGAAAAATTGGAGTCCTTATAGTAATACCAGTTGTTTCACTTAAAGGCATTAATTGTCCAACTTTTCGGTCACTGAGAAATTGTGCCACTACGAATAGCCTCATTTTAGCCACTGTTGTGGCGACATCTCGCAAACCACCGAGAGTGCAAAAATTTACTTGAGCAGAAAATCTAATCGTTATACACTTTTATTGAAGAAAATCAATTCTAATTTTAGATAAAAGTCTAAAATGTTGGCGAACAAAATATAATTATCAGGTATTAAACATCATAACACACTTTTCTATACGATAGTCACCAAGTTCATTTTGGTTATGAGAAATAGAATAGTGAGTGTCTGATGCTGATTCCGTACCAAGTCAAAAAATTTAGAAAATATAAAGCGGGATATAAAAAAAGTAAGGTGTAAAAGCCGTCAGTACTTATTTTCGGATATATCCAACTGTATCGTCATCTTGGATATATCATGATATACCTATCAGTTGATGATACATTAAAGTAAAAACAGATACAAACAAGTAGCCACACAAACCTACCTGTAACATATATCCTAGTTTCCAAGGTAGTCGGGATGTATCCTACTCTGGAGGATACGTAAGGATATAGCTTTTTTTTTGAGAGGTAGAAAGGATATATCCAATATCCAGTTAAATAGGATATATAAGTATATATCGCTTATAGTAACTACAATTGTCCGTTTAATTAAACCTAATAATTATGGATACTCATGACGCAGATAAATATTTGTCGGATTTATATACAAACAGTAAAGGTGAAGCTGCACTCGAAGTAGGTGTAGACCCCGGGTTGCCAGTCAATGAATATATACAAATTCCACGTGGTATGATGAAGAAGTGGTGTGGAAAAATCGACACGGTAGAATAGAAAGCTCTAGATGGTACAAGTTGATAAGGATGTATGCACTATACTACACAAATAACAATATTTCCTCGTGGGTGCGAATGGTTGAATTTCATATCGAACCACCAACAGTTGAAGACATGCGCGTGTTTTATACTGTCAATCGGATAGATATTCGGAAGACCGTCATAGATACAGACGATTCAAAATTAGTAATATTGGGCAACGATTTATGTGTCAGATAAATTATAAGTTTTGCAGCTAATCTAAACTTAATCATTTTATTTCTATTTGGATATTTCGACTGATCATACAGTCATTGTCAACAATAAAACAGTCATTGTGAGATCAGTCGAAATATCCAAATAGACATAAACTAATTAAGTTTAGATTAGCTGCAAAACTTATAATTTATCTGATACGGACGATCATCTGTGGATACATGCAATACGGTTTTGGAGAGTCCTAGCAGGTATGGTAGTTTCATCAAAGAACCATGAATATACTTTTGTCGCAAATCCGCCAACAATTGCTCCAAATGCTCATGAATTTGTCAATTTTGCACTGAAATATCATGGCAATGCATGGACTACGGCTGCAGCATGTACTCCATCTTGGCGACGCTCAAATCATGTTGCAGGTGCGGAAATAGCAGTAAGTTTTCCAAAGAGATGGTTACAAGGGGAGGGTTATTGGAAAACAGGAGGTGATAAAACGTTTAGAAATGAACGTCGAAAGATGCTAGCAACTACATTCTATATAGCTACACATGCTATACCTGTGCATTCGGTGTTAGCTCTAATGGTGCCATTAGATCCAGCACATTGGGTACATTTAGATCCATCATCTGGGTGTATATGGGATTGGGAAATGGGTGCTTCCACGGTCCCTATGGTACCCCGTACTTAAGTTGCAGGAATAGCTGCTGTAGTCAATGCTTTTGTGGTATTATAAATGATGTCAGACGAAGGCATCGCTTCACTATTGACACATATCGATCAATTAAATCCCCTGAAAACAGCATATGAAAAAGCGGCTGCACAAAGTATGCAATGTGCAGTTTATTCCAGATGGTTCTTTGATGGACATCCTGTACATATGGGACCAATAGATTTGAATCAAAGAGATGCTTCGTTTAATGATTTGGCAGATGAATTAGCTATTGTTGGCACACGGTACTATTCAGGGTCAACTATTTCATAATCAGCTTCATTAGGCAATTCGGCATTACAAAGTAGTAATGAAAAAGTAAGGATATCTCACATTTTGTTTGAAGAAAATGAGGGAATCATGATGTAGCTTTTTCTTACGATGAACCCGAAAAAAGATACATCATTGACTTTGAATAGCACGCAGCGATATATCATGATGTGTCATACATTGTATCCTGATATAAAAAAATATCATTTTCTATCATTTTCTTTAAAAATTTGTGACTGGGTGGGCTTCAGTACTAGTTGACATTTGCATTATGTTACACCTCAATTCTATATTATAGGAAATCGTTTTATATTCGTTCGGATTCAGAGTTTCCAGTAACCTTAAAATATATTGTTTTTTCTCATAAATAGAATCCTTTTATTTTCCTTATGGAAAAATGACAATTAATTTTTTTCCATTTAGGTTTGTTTTTGGATGTAATGGCAAAACTAGCTAGACCATTAAGCTTACCATTTATTGTGTCATTCATTTTATTTGGTTATATACTGAATGTAATTCTGGTAATTGTTCTGCATTGGATTCTTATCATTCATCGATATTTACCTGTTGTAGTATGCGGCTAGTTGTGGAATAATACATGATTTTCATATATTCATATATTGTAATGTTTGTTTTCTCTGTTGTTTCTCTCATTTTTTTTCTTGATTTATCATTTTATGGTTGTTTTAAAAACTCTACCTTTTTTAGCATTTGTTGTTGTGTGTCCAAGCATTCTTTTTCTCCTATTTCTCAAGAAAATCTTTTTTCTTTGATAGAAAACCTATAAAATTTGATTTTGATTGGTACTATCTCTATTGTTTGGTCGCCCATATCTTATTAGTGGATTCTAATTGACTATCACGAACACGATGTGTTCTTTTTCATTTTTTGAATACTTTTGTGAACATGCTTGATGCTCATTTTGATTAAACTACGGAAGAACGTGAGAACTCGTGAGAATTAATGAATGTGCAGGCTCTGCTAGATTAATCTTTTTTATAGGGTAATCAGAATGCAATTTCTCGATATGGATGAACATTCCTTATTTAAAAGAAAACAAAGTTTTCATTTAAGTTTAAATTATGATTACGCAAAAGAAAGATGTACAAAGTTGGATCCAGTGAATCATTCAAAATGAGGAAAAATGAATTTATGTTTTACATTTTCAAAACGAAGTTTATTTTGTCAGTGGCAGTAAAAGAAATGTCCTTTGTGCAATCAATGTATATATGTCAATTGAAATCAATATCTATATTGTGATCGTCAATAAACAACAGCTTTTACGTCTGTCTGAAGAAAAAGAATGGGAAACGAAAAAAAAGGAACGATAGATGCATATCAAAATTCGATGGTTTTTTTCTAGAGAAGCGGAATTTTTGCAACTTAGATACTCGAAATCAGCGCAACGAGTTACGTTGTACGGCGCAAAGGTTTCGTCGGGGTACCTGCGTTTTTTGGACCCAGTTTCTCCACTGTGAGTTTTCACGGTATATTACACTATATTCAACAGCAGACATCAAAGATTGTCAGTAGACTTTGCTTTGATGTTTTTTTCTTTCTATGTACACTATAGAGAGAGATATAATGTAAGAAACAAAGAGAAGAACAAATTTTATCATTTTATCCAGAAGAAAGATTGTACTCACTATGAAATTAGTGTATATTCTCACAACTTCTCAGATTAAAAAGTTAACAAATTTGGAAGTACCCCTCTCCAGTTTTTCTGGCAGTTTGAAGTACACAGCTTGTACTGTATGCCAAGCTATTTTTTAGAAAACGGTACCGTTTAGTTTTGGGTTATAAGGCTGCCAATATCACAGCTGAATGTATGAAAAAGTAGGTAACTGCGTCAATATAAAAGCCAAATGAGTTTTCAGAGAATTTTCTGAACTATCATGACTTTCCGGCTTTCTCTTCGGGCCACGGTAATGAGAGATAATGTATATAAAACAGAAATAAAAATAGTTAAAAGGCTGCTATTATTATTAATATTATCTATGATTAATATGATGAGTATTTCAATTAGATAAAACTTTGATACGTTTTCTTGAACTTTTTTGAACTACCATGGCTTTTCGGCTTTCGCTTCGGCATCGTTGTTGGTTTATTTTAATTTGAAGCAAGTAAAAATCCGCAGTTTCCTAGATCATAAGCATTTCGGATCCCATTTTGTGTAAGAAAACGCCAATACATTCACCATTCTACAATAGCTCAAACAACTACATGCATTGGATATCTGCACATTATATCTGACAAAATTAGGATTTGGAAAACTACGTTGTGCCTCATTCTGTAGCCCTTTGAATTCTGCATCTTTCTATATACAAACTATGCATAATCTCTGCCTATAGAAGAACCTATAATCATTTTTGTATGCAAAAAGTTGAGATAGCTGGCAAATATTTTTTCAATTCATTTCCTAACACAAACTTTTAAAATAATGCGTAATGGCTCATTTTGTAGATCGTGAAATTCTCTATTCAACGGTATATGATAGCTGGGAGTTGCTCTAAGCGAAAGAGATGAAATAATGAAAGTTCTGTGAGTAAAGTTCATTTATTGAACGAGAAGTTTTCTTCGCGAAACTTTTTCCCGGGAGTACTGAAGAAAAAGAAGTGTTGGGGTTAATCGCCGACAAAAACTACATCAGGTTGGTTCAGATGAGCCTCATCTGCGAGGGGCCCGATATTGCCTCTTATCGACCCTCCTTCCACAAATGTATATAAATCATTTTGAAGCTACTTTAAAAACTTATGTTGCTATTTGGATACTTTTAGTTCCTACTTCAAGTTTTCGATTTTTCTATTCATCTTGAATCTAAATCTATGTGAGGCATTTTAATAGATGACTTCTGGTTAGTCACTCTTCCTTACAGTCAAGCGACGGATAGCTCATCAGCAGTTTCAAAATGATGCAATCCTTTTACTTTTTTGTCATTGAAGGATAGAGCTCATAGAGCTGCTCTTTACGAAACTACTTTGTTATGGAAAGAAATGAAAAGGTTCAAACTTTGAAAATAGACAAAGGAGAGAAATTTCAAGAAGTAAGCTGTATTTACAAATGAATTACGAGGTTTGGAATTTAAACTCCGAATAAAAAACAAGTCACTGAACTCTAAGAAAAACGACTGAATTGCTCATCTTGAAAGTTTCTGTGGGCAAAAGATAGAAGGCTCTTTCCCATTTTTCTAATTGATAACCGATGGACTTTTCTACAACATTGCCAGGAAATGTTGTCACGTGAAGGATAGGGCTTTGCTAGACTATAGTTAACTCTAAATTCTGTATGAATGGCTGTTCTATTATTGTTGATTTCAAAATGGCCGATTCTATCGTTCGTTTTTAAGCTTCGCGTTTGAATTATGCTTATGCTGATAGCGGGCAGTTAAAGTTTTAAATAATTAAAATTTTAAATTGAGGTTTAACTAAAACCTGATGTTTTATATACCATTGGAAAAAGCGTTGGAAACTGAACAAAATCGCTCACTTGAAATTTCTAAACAACATAACTATTTATGAACCGTCTTCAAATTTAAATTCTGGAATTCTGGCTCATGAAAAGAAAGACGGAGAGGCAGAACAAAAAATGAATAACTGCATTCTAATTTACAGAAGTCTGTCGTATACTGGTAGTAGATTATTGACATGTGCTGAGAAACGGCTAATGGCATCATCTAGTGTATAATTGACTTCATTGAGTTGATTGATAATTTGAAACGGTCCATGAATACGTTCATATAGTTTTGTTTTTCCAGTCAACACTTTAAGCCAAACTAAATCACCAGGTTGATAAACAGGATTCAATCTATTCTTGTCATAACGTTGTTTAACAACGTGTCTTTGTGAAGAATAGATTGATAGTAGTTTTGTTGTAGTTGATAATAGTTTTTCTGATTCATCTAAAAATTTCTAACGAGGAAACAAATTTACAAAATATATTGCTGCATCAATAATTATTTCATCACTATCAGGTGCATATTCCATCGCCCTTGGGTAGTGATTATCTTTGTTAGTTAGCCTATCTCTCCCTCTCATCCACTAAGACAGGTCCGGAGATCTCTCAGTGCTGTACCACTAGGTCTCTGTTTACTTTTATCAGCCTTTCGAGGAGTAGGGCACAAACAAACAGCTCTTTTCTCTTCTCTTTTAACATATATCTTTGAACTACTAGAACTCTAGCGTATTTGTCTTTATCTTTATCTCGCATATACGATACATATAGGATACATTCGGATGAGAACAGACACCAGAAGAAAGGAACAAAACAGATAATAAGATATAAACATGTGTGTAACAACGTTATTTTTTAGAGTTTTTGAAAAAGTGATTTTCCAAAAAGCCGAGTTTTCAAGAGTCATGGGGAAAAATCCTTTTAGGCGTTTTACTAGCTCCATACCCTCTATCGATCGACGTATAAACGAACGAAATCGGAAGGTATCACTTGGATAGGTGTCCTCGGAAACCAGACTCGCTGGTGGAAGTGGAGTAATCTTCGCAATCACAGAGTTGAGTTCATTTCATAAATGAAGATAAGTGAGGTCTTTCGCGTCAAAACCATTGAGTTTGATTAATATTTTTATCGTGTGTGGATGATTATGATAGATGAATCGATCGATAACAGTTCAAGCAGACGTATTTCGGCTCATTATACTTTCTGAAATAATTGTTGAACGTTAATTTATCTCGAAATGAACTGGCAATTTCCAATTTTCTTGTGTTAACTCATCTCGTTGCACCTTTGGCTTGGTGTGTGTTACCACTGTTGTCGTAGTGTTTAAGCGGCTTTTACCTTTTGTAATTTGTCATTATATGCATTCCTGTTCGCGTTAAAGGGCATCGATGAGTATAATAATTGTTGTTCTAAAACCGATCAAGATTTTACGATTGAATACTGTTTCGTCGACAAAATAGACATACTTTTGACATGTTTTAATTGACTCGACAGTGACAAATTTTTTATTGCACATTTCAAAATGCATCAGATAGATTTCAATATCGCAATCA